TAAGGAGGAAAGGGGCCTTAAAGAAGGTTGGCTTCAACAGGGAATGACCCTTCGATGAGATCTAGGCATCATTATAATGCCACAGTGTACTATATACAGAGAAAATGTCTCTGAGATAGACTAGTAAGAAATGGCATAAGTAGGTTAGATTGTAGAGTGTGTAGACAGCCATGTGTATGATAACAATGAAGGTTATGTGTTAGAACAAAGCCATGTTAGCTACGTGGTAACCTTTTTATATTTACTAGGCCAGCCTCGGGTGATGGCAGAAGAGGAAAAGCCAGTGGTCATTGCACATTTAAATATGAAGACTTAAGAAAATACAATACTGTAGGCCAAATGTAATGCCCTGGAAATGAATACAAGGCCAAGATTTCTAGGGTGATGCTTTCTTAAATAGCATCTGTTCCATGCAGAGAAAAAAGAGTGGGCACTCCAAATTCTCCAGAATCCACAAGGACTCTTTTTAATAGTTATAGGATACACAGGAAGGCTGGGCTACCCTTTTGCAAAATGTCATCAAGAATTTTGTATTAAAAAGGAAAAGCTATGAGGCAAGATAGGAGAAAAGGCAGACTGTTGCAGATTCCACTAGAGTAAAAGAAAATAAGAAAAGTTTGACAAATGGGCCAGGCCTATGACAGTGAAACAAAGAAAATTGGAGGCAACTTAAAATGCCAACTTGAAAATAATTTACTGATACATGATTTTTGTACATTTTTAAAAGAACATGTGATATTTTGTTACATGCATAGAGGGTGTAATGATTGAGTCAGGTTATTTAGGGTATTAATCACTTCCAGTATTATCATTCCTATGTGTTTGAACATTTCAAGTACTGTCTTCTAACTATTTTGAAGTACCTAGTATATTGTTATCTATAGTCACCCTACTCTACATTAGAACAGTGTAACTTATTCCATCTATCTAACTATATATTTGTACCCATTAACCAACTTCTCTTTATCCCCTTCCCCTTGACATATCTTTCCCAGCCTCCAGTAACTAACATTCTACTCTCTATCTACATAAGATCCACTTTTTTTAGCTCCCACATGTGAGTGAGAACATATGATATTTGTGTTTCTGTGACTGGCTTATTTCACTTAACATAAAGTTCCATTCATGTTGCTGCAAATGACAGAATTTAATTCTCTGTATGGCCAAGTAGTATTTAATTGTGTGTATGTACCACATTTTCATTATCCACTCATCCATTAATGGACAGAGGTTGATTCCATGCCTTTGCTATCGTGAATAGTGCAGCAATAAACATGGGGTGCATGTGTCCCTTTGATACACCAATTTTTTCTTTGAAATAAATACCCAGTAGGGGAATTGCTAGACTGTGTGGTAGTTCTAGTGTTTTATTTTGGAGAAAACTCCATACTGTTTTCCATTATGTCTGTACTAATTTATATCCCTACCAAAAGTGTATAAGAGTTCCCTTTTCTCTGCATCCTCACCAGCATCTGTTATTTTTAGTCTTTTAAATAATAGCCATTCTAGCTAGGGTAAGATACTATCTCATTGTGGTTTTGAAAGAACAATTGACATGTATAGGGAGGGGTAAAATGTAACTAAAATACGATATACACATATATATTTTTTCTAGAAGCTTTAAAAGGAAAATAGCTGAATTAGAATATAGGCCAGGATGCAAGGATAGACTTTAAGCAATTTGGTAGAAGGAGAAAAACCAACCACTTTCAATGCCAAGGTACATATAGACAACAGGCAGGCCCAACCTAGACAGATAAGTAAGCATGTTGCTATGTGTATGAAGGCAAACATACAAAGTTTATGAATATTAGAATCTAGAATATTAGATAAGGAAAGGGTAATAAAAATTCTGTGAGTGGAAAAATGAAATTTTTAAAATGTAAAATGTGTTGATAAATTTACAGGCCTATAGTCATTACAGAAAACTTGATAGGAATAATACAATTTTGGCCACAATATAGAAATTAAGTGATGTAATTTTGAGAGGTCTTCAGTTATCCACAAACTGATCAAATATTTTGTCAGAATGAAATGTAAAATTGAGGTTTGCATAAAAAGTATGGCTACTTACTATAATAAGATTTGTAGGATTCAAAAGAATATGGTTTTGAAAGGATATAAATATCTATAGGAGATACTATATAATAGTAATTTAATTTTACATACTAGCTTAAGCAAGCAAGCCAGAATTATCCATCACTTGGTTATCCACCTTTAGGAGAAAGAGTGACAACACAATGTAGTTACTGCTGTTTCAAAAATATATTTTCACAGATTGAAAGCCCATAGGAATACTTTTCAAAATCACTTCAAAAAGACCAAAAATACACACAGTGTATCAAAAATAATTTAGCCGTCAAACAAAATCTAATTTATCCATGGCTATATGACAAAGTAAACAGCTTGGGGAGGTAGGAGGACAAGGGGAGCATTTTTTTAAATAAAAAAAAAAAAATGCCTACATGCAGACAAGAAATCTGTAAATGTTGGCCAATAAAGTAAAAGAAATAATAATAATTTCAAGGATCACCTTATAAGACATTCGCAAATTAATACTAAAAGTTTTTCAAAGACAACAAAATCAGGAAGTGAGCTACGGAATCAGTGGGGTCACTTAATGATATAATCAGGTGTGAAAGAATGGTATCAGAGAGACCCAGTGAGATATTGTGGTTATTGTCTTTACAGAGGAAGCCGTTAAGGATAATCTTTAATCCATCTGAAATTTGAAGTAGCAGAGGCATTCAATCATAAACAGCTAAACAGGCAAGTTCTAGACCTGATGGTAAATAATATACACATCAGGTGCCGCTTACACGATGTTTTGAAGAAACTCAAAGGTAAAATGGTGTTTTAATAGCTTCAAGTCATGAACTATTCCCAGAAACAGAACTAGAAGATTTTCAAGATGACTAAAATCCACCAACAAAAACCTGGACCAGGAAAACCTCCTTTGGGGATTCTCTTACATAATTAGCCACTTGATAAAATAAATAGCATAAGCATAATACATTTAGGAGCAAGAAGCAACCGGGCATCTATGTTTTAGATGCTATAGAAGTCAAACATGTTGCCCTTCTATTCCCAAAATCCTCTACCCTTGCTTAAACACAGTGATACCTCTATCAGAATACATTCCTCCCAAAGAACTGACACTCTCTGATAAGCTTTTAAAGATTTTCAAAATATTTTCAAAAATTAAAATAACCTTCACCAGGATGAGAAACTTGGCCAGCTTTTTTATCTTTACAATTTTTGGGGGGCGTCAGGACTTCTCTAAAGAGCAAAAACTTCCTACCCCTAGAAAAGTTTCTGATAAAGCAAAAATCATGGCTCCCAAAAAAGAGTGATCTTGCCAACAGAGGCTCTGAAATACCTCACAGATTTTGAAATTCACATCTTTCTGGTAGTTCATTCCTGTATTAATTCATCAGAGAAATAAAGCAACAAACTATCAGTATAATTAGTTATTATAAATTTACGAAATAAACTCAACTCTACTTCCAAAGGATATAAGAGCATGTCATTCACATTGATGTTTACATTTTTTTCCTTGATTGCACAGTTGACCTTTAGAGGCATTTTCCATGAAACTGTTTATCATTCGGCTTCCCATTTTGGCTATCAAAAATGCAACTTTATTAGACAACATCCTTCTTATGAATTTTAAAAATAATTTATCATAGATTTAACCATCTTCTAACTCTTCATGCACCAACATTATACTTTCTTACATTGAACTTTTATTTTGAGATCATTGTAGATTCACATGCAATTGTAAGAAATATACAGAAATATTCCATATACACTTTACCTGCTTTCTTTCAGTGGTAATGTCATGCAAAACTATAGTACACTATCACACTAGGATATTGACACTGATACAGTCCACCTACTAGTTCAAATTTCACCAATTTTACTTGTACTGTTTTGTCACCATAAAGATCACACATGTTGCCATTTTATAACCACATCCACTTTTCTCACACACCCTTAACCTCCAGCAACCATAATATGCCCTCAACATTTATAACTTTGTCATTTCAAGCATGTCATATAAATGGAATCATACAGTATATACAGTATATAATATTTTGGATTGGCCTTTTCCATCCAGCATAATTCCCTGGAGTTTAATCCACATTGTCATGTGTATCAATAGTTTATTTTTATTGTTGAGTACTATTCCATGGTATGGATGTACCATAGTTCATTTAACCACTCACTTGTTAACAGACATCTGAGTTGTTTCTAGTTTGGAGCTATTAGGGTAAAATTGCTATGAATATTTGTATGCAGGTTTTTGTGTGAACAAAACATTATCATTTTTCTGGGATAACTGCCCGTACTGAAATTTCTGATTTGTGTAGTAGATGAATGTTTGGTTTTCTAAGAAACTGCCAAATCATTTTTCAAAATGGGTGTACCATTTTATATTCCCACCAGCAATTTATCAATAATCCAGTTTCTCTGTGTCCTTGCCAGTAACTGATGCTTTACAACTTTTTATTTCAGGCATTCTGTTAAGTATGTAGTAATAGCTCATTTTTGTTTTAATTCACATTTTCATAATAGGTAGTGATGTTGAACATTTTTTAATGTGCTTATTTGACATTCATATATCCTCTTAGGTGAAATGTCTATTAATGTCTTTTGAATTGTTTGTTTTTCACTGTTGAATTTTGAGAACTATTCATATATTCTAGATACTAGTCATTTGTCAGATGTAGAGTTTGTGAATATTTCTTCCAAGTCTATGTAGCTTGTCTTTCTATCCTCTTAACAATGTCTTTCACAGAGCAAAGTTTTTTAAATGAATGAAGTCCAATTGGTCAGTTTTTGATTTTCTAGATCGTGCTTTTAGTCTTAAGTCTAAGAACTCTTTTCCTACCCCTTGATCTTGAAGATTTTCTACTATGTTATTTTCCTAAAAGTTTAATAGTTTTATGTTTTTCATTTAAGACCATAATCCATTTTCAGGTAATTATTTTCTTTTTTCAAATACAAAATGTTTTACAAATTTGCATTCATCCTTGTGCAGGTGCCATGCTAATTTTCTCTGTATCAGTCCAAATCTACCATATGTACTGCAAACTGAGCACCACTTTGAGGCAATTTTTTTTTTTAATAAGGTTAAGTCAAATTTTTTGTTGTTGTCTATGGGAGCCAATTGCTCCACCATCATTTATTGAAAAGTATATTCTTCCTCCATTGAACTGCTTTTACACCTTTGTCAGAAATATGTTGCGCATATTTTTGTGGGTCTATTTTTAAATTCCATATTCTCTTCCATTAATCCACACATCTGTTACTCCACCAATACGATGCTCTCTTGATTACTGTACCTATTATATAATAATTGCTACTATAAGATAGAATGATTTCTCTCACTTTATTCCTCTTTTCAAGATTGTTTTAGCTATTATAGGGCTTGTGTTTTTCTATATAATTTTTAGAATAAGTTTTTCTATATTTTAAAATCTTCACTACAATTTTAATAGAGATTGCATTAAATCTACAGATCAATTGTAGAGGACTGACATTTTTATTATATTAAGTCTTCCAACTCATTAATATACCATATTCCACAACATGGTACATTGTGTCTCTTTCTTTTGGTCTCCATGGTTTCAGATGAGAAATCCTCTGCCATTCCAGTAAGTGTTCCCCTATAAAGGCATCCCTTCCCTGTAGTCGATTTGAATGTGCTTTTGGCCTTTAGTTTTTAAGTGTTTAATTGTGACATGCCTTAGCATGGATTTTGGGGGTTTATATTATTTGTGGTTTGCTCAGATTCTTAAATCTGTAGATGTATGCCTTTTGTCAAGTTTGAGACATTTTGGGCCATTATTTTTTTCATATGTTTTTATTTTTTTTTCTCCTTCTGGAACTCATTGAGTCACTGTATTTATCAGTGGTATGTTTTCCATAATTGCCCCACAGGTCCATATGCCTCTAATCACTTTTTCTCACCTTCTCTCTTTTGTTCAGAACATGTACATTCTATTTACTTGTCCTCTAGTACAGTGTTTCTATATTCTTTCATAACCACTCTTACTATTCATCCCATCCAGTGATTTTAAAAGTTCATTGTATTTTTAGTTCTATAATTTACATTTAATTCTTTTTTAAAACTTCTCTTTTATCAATAATGTTTTTGCTTTTAAAAATGTGACCAAAAAAATTCAAACTGGCAAGATGGCCAAATAGGAAGAGCTCTGGTATGCAGCTCCCAGCAAGATAGACGCAGAAGGCGGGTGATTTATGCATTTCCAACTGAGGTACCCAGTTCATCTCACTGGGACTGGTTGGACAGTGGGTGCAGCCCATGGAGGGCGAGCAGAAGCAGGGTGGGGAGTCGCCTCACCCAGGAAGCACAAAGGGTCGAGGGATTTTCTTCCCTTAGCCAAAGGAACTGGTGACAGACAGTGCTGTGAGGAATGGTGCACTCGAGTCCAGATACAGCACTTTTCCCCCAGTCTTCACACACGAAAGCACCAAAAGCAATGGCAACAAAAGCCAAAACTGTCAAATGGGATCTAACTAAACTAAAGAGCTTCTGCAAAGCAAAAGAAACTATCTTCAGAGTGAACAGGCAACCTACAGAATGGGAGAAAATTTTTGCAGTCTACCCATCTGACAAAGGGCTAATATCCAGAATCTACAAAGAACTTAAACAAATTTGCAAGAAACAATGAACAACCCCATAAAAAAGTGGGCAAAAGATATGAACAGACACTTCTCAAAAAAAAAAAAATTTATGCGGCCAATAAACATATGAAAAAAAGCTTATCATCACGAGTCATTAGAGAAATGCAAATCAAAACCACAATGAGATACCATCTCACACCATTTAGAATGGTGACTATTAAAAAGTCAGGAAACAATAGATGCTGGAGAGGATGTGTGGAAGTAGGAATTCTTTTACACTTTTGATGGAAGTGCAAGTTATGTGGAAGACAGTGTGGGAATTCCTTAAGGATCTAGAACTAGATATACCATCTGACCCAGCAATCCCATTACTGGGTATATACCCAAAGGATTATAAATCATTATACTATAAAGACACATGCACACATATGTTTATTGTGGCACTGTTCACATTAGCAAAGACTTGGAACCAACCCAATTGCCCATCAATGATAGACTGCATAAAGAAAATATAGCACATATACACCATGGAATACCATGCAGCCATTAAAAAAAGAATGAGTTCATGTCCTTTGCAGGGACATGGATGAAGCTAGAAACCATCATTCTCAGCAAATTAACACAGGAACAGAAAAGCAAACACCGCATGTTCTCACTCATCAGTGGGAGTTGAACAGTGAGAACACATGGACACAGGGAGGGGAACATCACACACTGGGGCCTGTCTGGGGGTGGGGGGCTAGAGGAGGGATAGCATTAGGAGAAATATCTGATGTAGATGACAGGTTGATGGGTGTAGCAACCTACCATGGCATGTGTATACCTATGTAATAAATCCCGCACGTTCTGAACATGTACCCCATAACTTAAAGTATAATAATAAAAAATTAACAAAGTAATAAGAGCCATTTACGACAAACCCACCACCAATATAATACCGAATGGGCAAAAACTGGAAGCATTCTCCTTGAAAACCTGCAAAGACAAGGATGCCCTCTCTAACCATTATTATTCAACATAGTGTTAGAAGATTTGGCCAGGGCAATCAGGCAAGAGAAAGAAGTAAAGGGCATGCAAATAGGAAGAAAGGAATTCAATCTGTCTGTGTTTTCAGATGACATAATCCTATATCTAGAAAACCGCATCATCTCAGCCCAAATGCTCCTTATGCTGATAAGCAATTTCAGCAAAGTCTCAGGATAAAAAATCAATGTGCAAAAATCACAAGCATTCATATATGCCAACAATAGACAATTGACCATATGTGGAGAACCAAGGAACATAATGAGGCCGATTGGTTGCTCCTAAGTTCATTGGACAAAATGATGAAGAAAATGATGAACTCAGGGATTCTAACTCACAACTTCAGAAGCAAATACTGAGCCTCAAATCTGCTAAGATTGCCCTAAGTGAGAACCTTATCTCCTGTAGAGAAGGAGCTGAAATTGTGGAAAAACATACACAAGCTCTTATCATGCGAGTGGCTGACCTGCAATGAAAGGTGCATGCACAGCCTCGTCAGGTGTCTACCGTTAAAGTCAGGACATTGATTGGAAAAGAATGGGACCCTGAAACTTGGAATGAGGACTTGTGGGAGGACCCTGGAAAGGTGGGAACACTGAGTTTGTAAACTCCGATGAACCTTTTTTTGCCAGAAGAATCAGCTTCCCCATCCCCAGTAGTGGCAACATCCCCTCTCTGGCCCATGCTTCCATCAGCCTTGACATCTTTGTCTGAGGAGATAAACCCTGTGCTGTGTGAGGCAACAGTGATGGCCTCCCCTGAGGCAGCTGTCAACCAAGATAACGTTGATTATCAGGAGCCACCCCCAACACCCCTGTTTGCTTCCAGACCTATAACTAGACTAAAGTCCTGGTGGGACCCTGGAGGTGAGGTTGAGAGTCTGACCCATGAGGAGGTGTGCTACAGTCAATAATAACTGCTTGGGTTTTCTAATTTATGTAAACAGAAATCCGGAGAACAGGCATAGGAATGGATATTAAGGGTGTGAAATAATGGTGGAAAGAACATAGAGTTGGATCAGGTTGAATTTATTGACTTGGACTCACTAAGTAGGGACTCTGTACTTAATCTTGCAGCTCAGGGAGTTAAAAAAGGTTCCAATGGCTTATTTGCTTGGTTAGCTGAAATGTGGATTAAAAGATGGCCCACTGTGAAAGAGCTGAAAATGCCTGATCTCCCTTGGTTTAATGTAGAGGAAGGGATCAAAAGGCTTAGGGAGATTAGGATGGTGGAGTGGATTAGTCACTTCAGACCAACTCATCCCAGTTGGGAGGATCAAGAAGATTCACCCTTAACCAGTGCCTTATGAAATAGATTTGTGATGGCAGCACCTTTATCTTTGAAGAGCCCTGTAATTGCTCTTCTCTGCATGTCAGAGCTAATGGTGGGAACCACAGGCACTCAACTACAAAATTTAAATACAATGGGAATAATTGCATCCGGAGGTGGCAGAGGCCAAGTGGCAGCACTCAACCATCAAAAGCATGGTGGGCTAGCTACCGTAATGGACAGCAGAGGCAAAGCAGCAATCAGAATAATCTGATTCATGTGGAGCGCTGGCATTGGCTAATTAATCATGGTGTTCCTAGAAGTGAAATTAATAGGAAGCCTACTGCATTCTACTTAATTTATATAAGCAGAAAACTTCTATGTTGAATGGACAAAAAAAGACTAATATGAATTAAAAAAAAAAAAACAGAGAATCATGGCCCATCGATCAATTTCTAGACTTGAGCCACTTTACAGACCCAGAACTCCTTGAATGAAGGGGAGACTGGGTCCCCTTGAGGAAGGACCCCACTACATTACTGACAATTTATGCAGTGAATCTTTCTCCCATTCTTCCCCAAGAAGACCTCTAGCCTTTTGCCAGGGTAACTGTGCATTGAGGAAAGGGAAATGATCAGACATTTCAGGGCCTACTGGACACTGGCTTTGAGCTGACATTGATTCCAGGGGACCCAAAATGTTATTGTTGTCCTCCAGTTAAAGTAGGTGCTGATGGAGGCCAGGTAATTAAGGGAGTTTTAGCTCATGCCCGACTTACAGTGTGGGTCCCTGGATTCATCCTGTGGTCATTTTCCCAGTGCCAGAGTGCATAATTAACATAGACATACTTAGCAGCTGGCAGAACCCCCACATTGGCTCCCTGGCTGGTAGGGTGAGGGCTACTATGGTAGGAAAGACCAAACGGAAACCATTAGAACTGCCTCTACCTAGAAAAATCATAAATCAAAAATAATATCGTATCCCTGGAGGAATTGAAGAGATTAGTGCCACCATCAAGGACCTGAGAGACACGGGGGTGGTGATTCCCACCACGTTCCCATTCAACTCTCCCATGTGGTCTGTGCAGAAGACAGATGGATCTTGGAGAATGACAGTGGATTATCACAAGCTTAACCAAGTGGTGACTCCAATTGCAGCT